TATTAGAATCATATCACATATATAATTTATAAATATTTCTCTTATATCCCACTCAGGCTTATGTGCCTACTTTCTCAGTGTGGTCTATTGTGATGCCTAAGTTTCAACTCTAGGGGATGAGAGTGGCTTAGTTGGTAGAGTGCTTTGCCAAGCATGCTCCGGAGGTTTGATCCTCAGTGCCACACAAGCTAGGCATGGGGTACACACCTATAAACCCAGCATTAGGAGGCAGAGGAAAGAGGATTATTATGAATTCAAGGTCATCCCCAGCTATGTTAGGATTGTAAGGCCAGTCTGGGAGACTTAAGACCCTGTCAGCTTTGATCGAGTGTGTTTGCGTTTTCTTTTATTGCTCTTGCTTTTGGTGTCTCATCTAAGAGAACTTTGTCTGACCCAGGGTTACAAATACCTCCAAGGGGACATGAGTTGGGTAGGTGTCAGTCCTGGGGGAGCTTTTGTAGGCGGTGGCGGTGGTGGTGGTGGCGGCTTAGTCCTGGACAGAGGTCAGCATGGTCAGCGTGTCAGTGGGCTGACTCTGGGAGGCAAGGCGAGCAGGTGCAACAGTTGGTTTTACTGTCCTGGGTGCCAAAGAGAGGCACCCCTGTCGGCTGCCCAGGGCAAAGATGAGGTGAGGAGGTATTTTAAGAGCAGTGATCTGGCAGCCTGGTTTGGAAGAAAAATGCTGGAGCCAGGAATGAGGTAATGGGAGCCTAGATTAAAACAGTGCGGGAGGACAGACGGGTCGGGCCAAGAGGCCCATTGGAGAGAGAGCAGTCAGCACTGGGCAGAGAGGGAGCGAAGAGGGAGCGGGAGCCATGTCTAGGCCTCATGATCTTGATCTCCCTCCCTCCACTCCCTGATCTTGAAGTAGAAAATCCAGGCCTCTGGGATGACTGCTCCACACCCACGCTGGCTCTTCTGCAAGGCTCTCTGCCTGGGAAAGCAGATATCCTGTACCCTGGGTAGCTTTTGGCTAGACCCCCAGTCAGCTGTTTCTTCCATCCAAGGATGAGAGATGGACTTCTTGGGATGTGCTATATCTTTATCCCCATCCCCTCCCCACCCCACCGCCATTTTCCCAGACTGCCTTGGGCTTTTTCTCTCTTCCTTTCCCACCTTCCCCGCTTTGAGACAGGATCCCTCTATGCAGTCCTAGAACTTGTTATGTGGACTAGTCTGGCCTTGAACTCACAGAGACCCTCTTGCCTCGGCCTCCTAAGTACTGGAATTAAAGGCATACACACCCCATCATGCCTGGCCTGTTCAATACTGGATCCCCCTGCCTTGGTCTCTTGAGTGCTGGGATTTCAGGGGCAGGGCTCACTCTTTGCACAAAAAGATTACCACTGAAGTAAAGGATTGGGGAACTCCTGTGTGGAGAAAAGCTAGTGTCCATTGCCCTAGAGCAAACAAAGAACTAACAGTCCTAGGAAATTGACTGTGAATCTGCCCTGTGTACAGTGGCCCCGTAGCTTCTCCTGTGTAGACCGTGGTCTCCTTTCTCCCTGCTACTCTCTGAGCCATTCAGAGCATGTCAAAACCTCAACATGATTAGATTCCTGTCTCAGGACCAGAATGCTGCTGGCGTCAGCAGCCAGCTATCTTTCCTGGAGGGTAGAGAACATCCGAAGGAAGGATCCAGGGGGCTAAGAATATCCCTGTCCCCGGGCAGTGCCATGCTCCAGCAATTACCTCATGTCTCCACTTGGTGTTACAGACACAGCTATGCACTTGGGGCTGATGGGCTCTTAACAGTGAGGGCAGCTGGGCAGGTGGCCTGGGCAGGGACAGGTGGTCTGGGGCTAAGGGCTACAGCTGTGTATCCTGTGCTGAGACCTGTCTTGGCTGAACTTTGGAGTCGAGCCCAAGGGATCCCAACCTACTTAGTATGTAACATTGGGCAAAATTATTTGAGCACCATCTTTCTTTCTTTTTTTAAAAATATTTATTTATTTATTTATTATGTAGACAATATTCTGTCTGTGTGTATGCCTGCACGCCAGGAGAGGAGACCCCATTACAGATGGTTGTGAGCCACCATGTGGTTGCTGGGAATTGAACTCAGGACCTTTGGAAGAGTAGGCAATGCTCTTAACCTCTGAGCCATCTCTCCAGCCCCTGAGCACCATCTTTCTGTGTCTAACTGGGTCATACAGGTCACCTTTGCATGTTTGGTCCCAGCTCATGCTCACCATGCATCTGTGACTCTGAGGAGCAGGTTGGCCACCTTTGCTGCAGGCTCTTCTTAATCGATGTTGGTTTGCACAAGACTGCATGCGCCACAGCTGGTTCCGATTTCTTTCGAGGCCATGACTTGTCCCTTGTACAGCCCAGTCTACTGTCTGACCAGGGCTTTGTGCCATTGACTATAAGACTGGACCCTGAGAGTTTAGCACCTGCTTTCTTCTTGGGATACATGGCTGTCCAGGCGTTTCCTGCGGGCCTGGACAGGAGTGACCATCCCAGAAGCCTCTGGAAGTTTGGCATGTCTGTCTGTTGTAGGGGGTCCTGGCCTCTGTTTGATGCTGCCTGCCTAAGCAGGGAAGTGACCCCAAGCTCCCCATGTTCTGTTCCTCTCTTGAGGGACTGCAGCTGAGGTGTGAGAGTCTTGTTGCATGGCCCAGATTTCATTCCCACCACTTGCTTCTATTACCCTGGGTATTCTGAACCCAACAGTTTGGCTTCACCCAGTTTTTAAAAGTAACTTATCTATTTTGATTTTATGAGCATTGGGTGATGTTCTTGCTTACATGTATGTCTGTGTGAGAGTATCAAATCGCCTAGAATTGCAGTTAAAATAAGCTGCCATGTGGGTGCTGGGCATTGAACCTAGAAGAGAAGCCATTGTTCTTAACTGCTGAGCCATTGCTCCAGCCCCTGGCTTTACCTGTTGTTAAAATGAGAACTGGAAACCTTGACTACCATAGAAGATCCTATGGAAGTTGTCTCCTATTCATTTGGAGTTGGAGGATTATGAGGGACCTTGCCACTTGTCTGAGAGGTGAAATCTGGGGTTCCTGACCATGTCATACAGACTGACTTCATCCACCTGCAACCTCAGACTTGTCCAACCACATGCGAAATATTAGCCAATAGTAACCTTCATATAGCCCTACGTTACCATACCTACTCATCAGGGGTCCTTTGTCTGGATTCTGTATGTCTGTGGTGTCTTCTCATAATTTGGTTTTCCAGTAATACTGTGCGTTTATTTGCTTTGAGACAAAGTCTTGTAGCTGAGGCTTATCTTGAACTCCTAATCCATCTGCCCCCACCATTCAAGTGCCACCACACCTGGGTATGCTGCTCCCTTTGTTTTGGGGCAGCTGAGCTACAGCACTGGGATTGGCGTAAAGAGATAGCCATTTCAGGAAGGAGTAAGCTGGTGTCCCCGAGAGGACAGGAAGCTGGCATATTACAGAGCGGTGGCCAATGAAAGTGGTTGTGTCTAGCTTGTGGGATGTCTTCTCTGCATAGTGTATTAGGGGACTTGCAGCTGTAAGCGCCAACCAGCTGTTTGCCTGGGGGCATCAGCTGCAGCCTGCACACTTGAACTGCCTGTGGTTTAAGTTAGTGCCACAGGTCCAGCTGCCAGGGAGGTTGGACCTGTTTGCACCTATTCCACAGCAAAACAGTTATATCTGTGTTACCTAATGCCACGGGAAGACAAAGGATGCGTGGGGCAATAGTCAGTGGTCGTTTCTGTTTCTCTAATGGAAGAGTCTCTTGAGAGGACAGCCACCTTATACTTTGTGTCCTGCCTCTGCCTTCACCATCCCCCTCCCACATCCGTAGCACCCTGTGTGGAAACCTACTGGGCCAGGCTAAAGACCCCTGAGGTCCTGGCCTCCCTGGGTACCAGCCTTTATTGCTCTCTGTGATTAGGCCATTCTGAAGGCCTGGCCAGAGCCATGGTCTGATCCACGGGTCGGAACACCCATGTCCTCGTGTGAGGTAGAGTGTCCTCTCTCTCTCTGGGACCAGGGAAGGGTGCAAGGTGGTAGGGTGGACAGGCTTGGGTCAGGGGATCCCACCTCCTTCTGTGGTTCCCATTTCTTAACGTGCCCTAATCCTTTGGGTCACACAGCTGACCTCTGTATATGTCCCTGTTCTTGGGTCAACGCTGACTGCCCCTTTGTACTCTTCCAGCCTGAAGATGGTGCTCATGTGGACGAGCGGTGACACCTTCAAGACAGCCTACTTCTTGCTCAACGGCGCACCTCTGCAGTTCTCAGTCTGTGGTCTACTACAGGTCATGGTGGACCTGGCTATCCTGGGGCAGGCCTATGCCTTTGCTCACCATCCCCAGAAGCCCGCCCCCCATGCAGTACACCCTGCCAGTGCCAAGGCTCTCTGAGGCATCTAAGGAAGGACAAGGACACGCGACCTATCAGCCGTGGGTGCTGACTGCCAACCTATGCTTCCGCATTAGGGAGGCTGGCCCTGTGCACTCCACAGATGAACAGGCCAGGTGTGGGCAGAGATGTGAAGTTGAGTGCTTGTCCCCATAGTCTTCAGGTGGGGGGCTCAGGGACAGTGGAGCTCTGTGATGTTTTCAAGGTGATGGAAAAGGCTGGGGTCTTTCCCTACCTCCTTCAGACAAACACTGGCCTGACGCTGAAAGAGGTTCATGCAGCTGAGCAAGATGGCAGGCACAGCAACCCGCCAAGTCCCTTCCCCTCAGCGAGCCTCGTCTCCTAGCAGAGCTTGTGGCGCGCTAGACAGTGTGCGGTCATAGCTGCTGGTGGCTTGTCTGTCCTCAAGCCCTGTTCTGCCCTTGTGTACCACGGGTGTGTCTGCTGCACCCTGTAGAGATGGAAGCCACTGGCCTGACACTGGTCACTGTATTTTGCCCCTCTCTCTGCTCACCATGAGATCATGTATGCTTGGCAGCCCCGTGCTGACCTGGCTGGCTCCTGGGTCCAGAATGTTCTAGATGCTTCTGCGTAACAGTTTCTTCTCTTCTGCTGGGCAGAAAGAAGGGCTTTTTGTGCACACAGTGATGCCATCCACAGTCAGCACAATAGCTCTGATGGTCGTGGTGGCTCACCAGATGGCTGAAGAGGCCACACTGTGCCACCTTCAAGCTTCCCTCAGATAGTCTAAGTGTGTGAGCAAGATTCTTGCTTACTCTCTGGTTTGTAAGATGTTTATTTTTAAAAAAAAAAATGAAGGGAGATGTCTGTAGTGGTAATTGCCTCCAAAGTAAATGCCTTCGGTTGCAGGCCCAGCTGCCGAATGAATATGCTCCATGTGGTGTCTCGTCTAAGTCAATAAATTGCATGTGGGTCTGGTAGGGAGGATGGAATCGCAGCAGGTGCACAAGGCGGGGAGGGGGTTGTGAGATGTAGGGTGCTGGATGGTGGTACCAATTTGTGTAGAAGGGTGACAGGCACTAATTTGGGGTTTGGGTGCTGGTACAGGGTTACATTGGATTGAAGGGCTCATGTGGCCCTTAGGAACCTTGGTCCATGCCTGAGTGGATGAGGGCATCTGTCTGGCATTTAAGGATGTGGACTTGAAATGGACTCACATTGCCCTCCATGAAGTGACAGAGGGTTCCAGGTAACCCAGAGATGTACAGTCATGACTGGGATTATGCTTTTCCAAGCTGTGGAAGTAGAGACCACTCTGGACCAACTGTTTAACAGTGAGGAAAGAGAAGCTCGGGAGTGAGGCACTGCCCGGGCTTGCTTCTGTTCTCTTGCCTGGCGGGGTGCTGGTAGACTTTGGGGTCATTGCCTGCATGACTGAGGCTGCACCTCACCACATTTCAGAGCACACAAACCCAGCTGGCTCTTGGGGTGTGAGAAAGACCTGCTTTCTGCAGCCCCATCATTGCTGTGGTTGTGGTCACTGTAAGGATCACAGGCACCAAGGATGCAGCCAGTGCACCGTGGTGCCTTACTAAATATTTCCATATGGACTGCACCTATGTCCCAAGAGCACTGGTTGGAATCTGGGGAATACGTGTTCCCTGAAACCAAACAGGAAGCTGAGGCCACAGCATGCCCAGCCCTCTATCCTTCTGGGAAGTTTTTCAGGAGGTGGAGGAATCTGCCTGGGTCTCTAGGCAGAGAATCCCAGAGCAGGTGGTTTGCTAGCTCAGAAGGAATGTGTCCTTCCCTTCCCACCATTCTCAACAGAGCTGGCTGTTACCCCACACCATATGGTAATTCAAGGTGGCTTCTAATGCCCCTGGTTGAGAGTACTGTTGGATACTGGCCAGAACGACAATGGATCCCATGCTCATTCCTCATGACTTCCCTAACTTCCAGGGGACTGCAACCTGAAGTTTACTTTTGGGGGGTCTTCATGGAGGAATTCAGTGTACCTGTGTAGCAGAAGTCCATACTGCCCCTGGAGAAGAGAGCCACCTTGAATGCCAGCCTGGTACAGAAGGTTTCCTTCTGGCTAGATCTCTGTCTGCTGGTACCAAAATCCCTGTTGGGACCTAAGCAAGCCCAAAGCCATTGCTACAGGAAGGGCAGTTCACCTTGGAAGCCCCAGACCCGCCTCCAGTGTGTGTTCAAGGTCTACCCACATTGCTACACGTGCTAGGGAGGCAGGCCTGAGCCCAGGGTCCACTGGGTAGCTTCTAGCTCTACCCCCTCTTTGAGGAAGCTCTGGCCCTTCCACTCCCTGCATTTCCCAAGTTGCTTCAAAGGTATCTTTAAAAACCCTGTTGGCTTTGGCCTTGGTAGATGTGGGGTCCATTAGCAAGAAGAGGGCTCTGTTCTGTAGAGGGCTGCAACCACAGACTCAGCAAACCCCATGCTAGGCTCCAGGTTTCAGCCAGGCTTGGCCAGCCCCATCCTGAGCAGCTGTTTTCTCCATCTGAAAGCTGAGCATCCCTTTTGTCTCAAGGAGATTGTCCAAAGATTCCAGAGAAGCAGGAGAAGGTTGCCTTGGGTGGGTCACGGGCCTCCATCTCTTGCTTGGCCCTGGAGTGTTGCTGCTGGCAAGACCAAGTTACCAGTTTGCTTCCCAGGCCTCTTATCTCTCATACCCAGTGCCTTGACAGGTGAAGCCCATTTGTGTGCAGGTCTGCCACCCCATGCCACCCCTACCACACATCATAGGAAACCAACCTGCCCCCCCCTTTCTAGCTCTAGGAACCCCAGGCTCAGTGTGGACCCCACAGAACATAAATGATACCCAACTGAGAGGAACTCAGCTTACTGCTGTGGGGGGGGGGGCTGACAACTTTTTATTTGGTTGCAGTAGATTCTTGCAAAGCCAGTGGTACAAGGACCCCAAAGGGGCCTGTACTGAGCTCATATAGGGGCCTTGCTGGAAGTTACTTACTATGCAGTAGGCAGTGAATGACCTGAAGACAGAGGATCTTCCCTCCTGATGGAGGAGGTCTATCTCAGGTATGGTGTGTGTGGGGGTAGGGGGTGTCAGTGAACATCTGATCCGCCTGCCTCCACTTCCCAAGTGTTGTGATTACAGGCATGTGCCACCACCTGCGGGCTTGTTGGAAAGAGCGAAGCAAGATCCATTTTCCTCGCCTCCACGGAGCAGAGAAAGGCCATGCTTCCCTGGCCTATCAGTGTCCCAGCAAGAGCCTCCTAGGGGTGTCCTCACCATCTCCTCGAACTGCCCCTGTACCCCACTAGACCTGTCACCCGGGTTTTTGCTCTCACTTGAGGGAAACATCCCAATAGAAGAGAACATCCCCTGGAGACAGATAGCCTTCCCACAGGCTAGCTGGGATGGCAGGGAAGGGGTTAAAAGGCCACTCTGCAAACCTTGAGCAACTTGATCACCTGATTGAGATGGTGTGGAGGAACAGAGCATGGTCAATGCTGAGGTTTCTCCTCTCTCTGCCAAAGAGCAGTTAGGCAGAACTGGGGGCTAAGTACCTCGTCAAACCTCTGCCCCATCGCTTGGCAGGTGATGTGGACATGGGCTGTGTCAGGTGTCCTTTACATGGGATAGTGCCCACTGAGGGTCCCAAGGTAGATGTCACCCTCTATTCCCTGGGGGCTGCCCTAGATTAGGAGCCAGTGGGTAGGGGGCAAAAGTTAGAGTGGCTGGCATTTGCTTCAGGCTTGGAATTTCTGGGACTCAATTATTTTTAATTAGCCATAGAAAATTTAAAACTGGAGGGAAAATAAAAAGCAGAGAAAGACCAGGCTGCTATATCCTCCAGGCTACGCGAAGCTCGGGGTTGCTTGGGGTGCCAGGCTGGCTGCAACGACATGCCAGACCAAGTTTGAGACTCCTGGATCATCAGGCCCTTGGTGTCTCCGAGGCTTTGGATTCCCTTCCCCGCCCAAGCTCTCAAGCAGAGCACTCGGTTCAGGGTCCCCTCCGGCTTGGGGAGCTCCCTGCTGTGCCTGCGCTCTCGGGGTCCTGCGAGTTGTCCTCGGTGGCGCTGGCCGAACGCGTGCTGTCGTCGCGTGTGCTGTCCTCATGCAGGACCGGCTCAGGGCTGGCCGCGCGCTGTTGCTGCTCCTTGAGCTCCGAGTAGGAGCGCGAGAAGGTGTGGAAGATGGAGGTGACCGGGAAGGCCATGAGTAGAATGCCGCTGAGGATGCTGCTCAGCGCCACCACCTGGCCGGGAAGGCTGCGCGGCACCATGTCTCCATAGCCCACGGTGGTCATGGAGATGACGGCCCACCAGTAGCTGGCGGGGACGCTGGAGAAGTCGCGGCGAGCGCCCAGCTCGCGCTCGGCCAGGTGCACGAGCGGCGCGAAGAGCGCCATGGCCACGCAGAGGAAGAGCAGCAGCAGTCCGAACTCGCGCGCGCACCGGCGCACGGTGAGGCCCAGCGAGCGCAGTCCCAGCGAGTGGCGCGCCAGGCGCATCACGTAGAGCACGCGCAGCGCCCGCAGCAGCCGCAGCACCAGCCCCGCGCGCTCCAGCATCTTGCTGCCCGTGGGCCCTGCCGCCAGCCCCGCGAGCAGCGACACGTAGAAGGGCAGGATGGCCAGGATGTCGATGATAGCAAGCGGAGTCCGCAGGAAGGCGCACTTGCTCTCAGCCTGCAGGGAGCGCAGCAGAAACTCGAAGGAGAACCAGGCCACGCACACCGTCTCCAGCACGAACAGGTTGCGGCACTTCGCGGAGCACTCGCCCTATGGAGGAGAGGGACACCCGGTTGGTGGACAGGTGGTGGCTACAAGGAAGTCAGTCAGGGACGCGGGATGTCACATAGATGCCGTGCCAGTGACATGTGGGAGTGGGAGATACAGAATTTGGCTGAAAAGGCCCAATCCCTCCTCCTCTTTTGAAGATTTATTTGACATCATTTCCGTACGTGGGTAATGAGCAGGGTGAGTCCGGGAAACTGGAAAGGCAGTTAAAACCTGGAACCGCTGACCTCTGAGCACTTCTGATTTGATCGATGAGATTCTACAAAAAGCGCTTTGGCATGAATAACCTAACGTTCCACTTTTGGACAACTGGGCAAAGGAGAGGAAAAGGAATCCCAGTGCACCGAAAGAGGTAATAGAAATTAGAACGGGAACGCCAAAACAGGGCAGCGCTGAGAAGTCGGTTCTTGGAAAGATCGAAATCGATACATTTCATACAACAAGAACAGGAAATGCAGGGCGGGACACTGCTACTACCACCAAGGAGGAAAAAGACAGAGGAATAAAGTGTCTGCGAGGTGGGCAATTTAGATGCAATGGGCGAATTCTAAAATGGCGAAACAAAAACGAGCATGGGAAGAAAAGAGGATCTGGATACACCTAGAGCAAGCCTGGAGACAGATTAATTCAGCAGTCTGCCCACACAGAAATCAGGGGTTCAGACGGCCCATACACAGCGTTCTCTAGCGTTCCAAGTGTTAAACATCAAGTCTTTACCATCCACCACAAGAGTGGAGGAAGCACTTCCGAGTTCATTCTGTTGACCTCGCCACAAAACCCAGACAGCGTGAGCTTAAGACACCTACAGAAACTTAATGGTAAACAAGACCAGGAATGTTGGTACACAGCTCTAACCTCAACACTTGGGAGACAAGAGGCAGGAGGATCGGGAGTTCAAGGCCATCCTCAACTATACATCGACCTTGAGGCCCGAGTAGGCCACATGAGACCATCTCAGAAACAAAAATGAGAACAACAATAAATGCTTGAAGTGATAACAAACAGAACCCAGCAGCGGACAGAGGACTTAGAAACCATGTCGGAAGGAGGGCCTTTGAGATGGCTCAGCAGGTAAACGCATTCGTCACCAAGACTGATGACATGAATTTGATTCCTAAGACCCACATGGTGGAAGGAGAGAACCAGTTTCTGAAAGTGAACCTTCACCTGTGGGTCATGGCACACACATGCCACCCCTCCAATAAATAGATACATTTACTAAGAAAAAGGTACAATGGAGAAAGATTTTTGCTAAGGAAGCAAGGTTGACTTAGCACCTGAAACTGATTAATATAATTCGTAATAATAACATCATTAAAAAGAAAGATTAGACCCAGGTGATAGTGGCACACACCTCTAATCCCAGCACTCGGGAGGCAGAGGCAGGCAGATCTCTGTGTTCGAAGTCAGCCAGGGCAACACAGAGAAACCCTATTTCACCCCCCTCACCCCTTCCAAGTAAGACCAGATAATCAGGTCTGCCCTTGGTTCTCTGAGCAAAGGAGTTCTGAAGATTCAAGCTAGGATAGTCAGACATAAATAAGTTAAAAATAAAAATAAATCCAGTTTGGAAAGGAAGAAATGACATGACTTTGTGTACAGAAAAGCCCAGAGAATCCACTAAAATAAATGAACACATTAAAGCTGAAACAGTAATTCAGTAATATTGAAGGATATGAGATAAATATACAAAAGTCAATTTTATCTATACAAACTTTCAACAAATAACCTGAAAATGAAAAATTTTAAATTTTATTCACAATACCATGAAAGTATACCTGTAGCGCGCGCACACACACCCACACACACACCCACACACACACCCACACACACACACACACACACTTGGTGCCATTAGTTCTGAAGGACAGTCCACACAGAAAGAGTTTGACGGTAACAGGTCAGTGAGAATATGGAGGAACTGGAACTCTCATACACTGCCGATGGAGTACAGACTGGTCCAGTCACTCTGGAGAACATTCTGGCAGCTCCTCCGATGAGCAGTTACCATCAGACTCCACAGTTCCATGTGTGGGTCTCTGCTGGTAAAGAATGTCTCCAGAGAACTCATACAGGACTTCACACCAGGAGGCAAAATAACCAAAATGTGATTCTATGGGCTGTGGAATAATCCTTTTGTACACTGTGAAGATTTGTCACTGTGGTTGGTTTAATAAAGACACTGACTGACCAATAGCTGAACAGGATAAAGTTAGGCAGGAGCCAAACTGAGAGTGATGGGAAGAAGAAAGGCAGAGTGGGTCAGACGCCAGGAGATGAAGAGAAGGCAGGACGTGTAGAAAATGAGGTAACAAGCCATGGCCCACGTGGCAAAGCACAAATAGAAATATGGGTTAATTTAAATATAAGAGTTAGCTGGTAACAAGCCTGAACTATGAGTCGAGCATTTGCAATTAAGTCTCTGCATCAGTTACTTGGGAGTGGCTTTTGGGACAGAAACTTCTGCCTACATCTATGAATGAAGAAAAAAGAAAATGTCAGTTCATATGATGAACTATTCTGAATCACCAATGGACACCAGTGTAAGTGAACCCTGGAAATGTGACGTGAGAAAAGCCAGGAACAAAAGACATACTTGATGGTTCAATTCGTATTAAAAGTTCAATTAATGAAGTCTACAGAAAAGTGGACTAGTGGCCGCCAGGGGTTGGGGTTGAGGAGCCATGGTTTGGGGGACATGGGGTTTGGGTGATACGAGGTTTGGGGGACACAGGGCTTCATTTATGGTGATGGACTACTTCTGAAAACCATGGAATAGAAGATACTTCAAATGTGTTAAATATACAGTAGGTGAATTGTACCTCAATATTCTTACTAGAAATAATCTCTAGGCAAACCTCAGTGTATGTGGCTAGCTGGGCTACAGAAAAGAAGCAAATGGCTACAGGCAGAGGTAGAACTGCATTTGTCAAACAGCCCAGAAGATGGTTATCTTCTGGGAAATGGGGAAGACCTAGCTGGCCACACAGCCTCAAGGCTGCCATATTTTACCTGATCGTTTCTCACCCTACCACAGCCACCTTCGGCCCACAGGCTGTCCCGGCTCAGAGCATTAGATTCTGTGCAATAGAATCTGTCACCAGGTCACCTCCGCTGTGGGGGAAATATCCACAGAGATGTTCGCCCCACGTAGGCTCTTGGTTTCAATTCCTACAAGCAGCCTCTGGGTCTGTGTGAGCATCTGGTGTCTGAGGTCCAGTGGACAGAGTGGTAAGGCCTGCCGCCTTCTGTCTCGAGTGAAACCTCCACTCAGAAGGGGTCTGAGGCTTCAGTGGTCACCAGCAATGACTTGTAGGTGTACAGACAATGATGACACCTGTACACAGTGGGACATGGGTGGGCGAGACACTCAGGGATGTGCAGGCCATCTTGTGTATGCAGGGTGGGACTCTGAACGATCACTACTCTGAGAGGAATGCAGAGTGCTGGCATTCAAATTTCTCTGCTTAACTCTGCAAATCCTAGCTAGCCACACGTACCTGGCGATCTGTGTCTAAGGGTACTGTGTGCAGAGTCCTTTGCCTTGTCTGCTCCTGCATTCGTGGGCTGCTGGGACCCTCACCTTGACCTACAGATTAACCTGTATTGACCTGCATCCTGCTGTGTGACTGGAGAGGCCTTCCCTGGGCTCTCATTTCTGCTAATGCGGAGAGCAGTGGAGGCTGCACTCAGGCTGGGGAAAGAGTGCTGGCCCCGGGCCACAGTCTTACCCACTGCTGCCTGCTGCTGCCAAAGTCCCTACTCCCAGACATAGAACAAGAGAGTCTAGCCTCAGCCTTGGTCAAGGAAACTCTGATGCACACTTCAGAAAGGACACTGGATGTTTACAGAGGTGGTCTGTTCATCTTTGTCTCAGTGTCCCCATCCCTGTGTTGCTTGGGTAGTTTTGACCAGGTCCCACACATGGAATCTGAATTTGGCAGTTTGACCTCAAGGACATTACCCTAAAGGCATGGCTGCTGTCACAAAGTGGGAACAAAGAAACCCTGTGTCCCCTGGTGGGTTGAGAACCACAAAACAGGGAGCACCAGGGCCCAGAACATATCCACTATTGGCCTGTATGGGAGGGTATGGGAGAAAGACCCAGATGCTGCCCCCCAGGGACCCAGCGCAACCTCCCTGGCTAGAAATTACTGGGTAGAGCCAAGGATGGTGGTATCTTCAAGCCCGAGGTTAGTGTAATGGAGCAGTTTCTGGAACTTTCAACCTAGAAGGCAGAGCCTGATTCATCATGGCAAGACGTATCTGCCCTACTTGGCCAAAACCAGGGCAGGAATAAGGATGCACTCATCCTCGATTGCCCCTGGAGAGCTTCTCCGTGAAATTTTATTTGACATCTGCAAGTACTTTTCCTCATTGGAGCTCTGATTATTCTGCAAGCTGTACGGTCCCTGTGCAGTGTTAAGATGGGAAGGCCTGAGGGTTGGAAGGAGTCCCCACACAGTCAAGAGTCCCTGGAGCAGCACACAGGCACAGTGTCCAGGCGGAGGCAGTGTTAAGATGGGAAGGCCTGAGGGTTGGAAGGAGTCCCCACACAGTCAAGAGTCCCTGGAGCAGCACACAGGCACAGTGTCCAGGCGGAGGCAGCATGGGTAGCTCTGTGACCAGGACTTGCAACACTCCAGACTGCCCAGGAGCTGCAGCCGTGTCCAGCTTTCGTGAAGCAAATATAGCAATACAGGAAGTTCCAGATTTTAGATTCCTCTTTCTCTGGACCAACAGTGGCCAATAGGCTACAGTCCTACCCTTGCTCTATCTCCGGAACCCTCTTCTTCCCTTCAGAGGCTAGCTCCTTTCCAGGGAGACCAGGACAGAGGTCTGCATAAAGAAGCCAGGTCCTAGGCTAAGGAGCCTAGAAGTTTCTCGCTAACGATGAATCTGAAAATGACGGAAAGCTGTTTGCTCTGGTAAGCATAGGTGGCCACATCTGGAAGGGTGAGCATAGATGTGTCTATTTTTAG